AAAAAATCTTGATTTCTGAGCTTTGTGGTCACTATAATCATTGTGAGAATTTTCTTCTACTTGCATTTGGCCAAATCTTTATACTGCGAAAGAAACTGTGAAAAAAAGTAGTATTGTTTAGGTTTAATGCCTTTCACATGTTAGCATGTCCAGTTCACCAGTGAGTAGCACTGGTGAATTCGAAGGGGGAAAAGTGAGAATTGAAGCCTGAAAGACCCTGATCCCAGCTTTGAGGCTTCAGCAATCTCTTAACTGGCTTCTTTCTGTTGGCCTCATTTTCATGCTAATAAAATGTGGAGGTTGAACATATTCCTTCTACATCTCAAATTTTTTGACTTAAATTTCTTAACTTTGGTTCAGTTTACTCTGGCTTTCTATTTAATATTTAACTGGTTAAATATTAATGTGAGAACATGCCTCAGTTTCAGCCTAAAGATGTTTCTTTCATAATATAATTTTAATAATGGTTTTCAAATAGGTTGATGTGTTCATTTCTGTGATATTTAGAATAAATTCTTGAGCTTTATAGGTACTCACTAGATTTTTGTTGAATTAAATGCATTTTAAGTATTTAACGTGGCATTCGATTTATGATTATAAATAATCTTTCTCAGAATTAGAATATGTCTTTAGGGAGCTCAAAGTATTTTTATGTATAGTGTTATCTAAGTTCATGAATGAAAACATTGTTTGCCAGAGTAGAGCAGGGATTTTTTTTTTTTGAAATGGAGTCCTGCTCTGTCACTCAGGCTGGAGTGCAGTGGTGTCATCTTGGCTCACTACATTCTCCATATCCTGGGTTCAAGCGATTCTCCTGCCTCAGCTTCCCAAGTAGTTAGGACTATAGGCATGTGCCACAATACCGGTGTAATATTTGTATTTTTAGTAGAGACTGGGTTTTACCATGTTAGCCAGGCTGGTCACAGACTCCTGGCCTCAGGTGAGCCACCCTCTTTGGCCTCCTGAAGTGCTGGAATTACATGCATGAGCCACCCTGCCCAGGCTTTTTTTTTTTTTTTTAAATTAGGTCCAGCGATGTGGCTCATGCCTGTAATCCCAGCACTTTGGGAGGCCGAGGCGGGCAGATCATGAGGTCAGGAGTTCCAGACCAGCCTGGCCAACATGGTGAAACTCCATCTCTACTAAAAATCCAAAAAAATTTAGCCAGGTGTGGTGGTGGGCACCTGTAATCCCAGCTACTCAGGAGGCTGAGATAGGAGAATCGGTTGAACTCAGGAAGTGGAGGTTGCAGTGAGCCAAGATAGCGCCACTGCACTCTAGCCTGGGCAATAAGAGTGAAACTCTGTCTCAAAAAATAAATAAATAAATAAATAAATAAATAGAAATTAGGTCCAAGTTCTAAGTAGATAGGTATTTGAAGTTTGAGTTAGGAAAGAGGTGCTGATTTTTGCTTAACTCAGATTTTAACCTTTAAAGTTTAGAACTGTATACTGTATAGCTTCATTCACTAATAACAGTAATAGAAGAGGTAGGTGGTATTATTATCTCCATTTTACAGAGCAGATTAAGTACTTTGCCCAAAGAAACACAAAGAATAAGTCAGGGAGGCAGGATTAAAATCTGGGCGACCCTGGGTCTTGTGCGCTTAAGTACAACACTCTACCTTCTTCATTTATTCAGTCAGTTCTTATGATGTGTCTCTTGTGCCAGGCTCTGGGCTAAGTCCTAGGTAACAAAAAATGGGTCCTGGTGCTTTTGAAACCAAATGGCCTAGGCTTTAGGACTTGTCCTCAGTTAATATATAACAGTTGGTTCTTTTTTAAGTGCAAAAAAAGGGATTCATTGTCCTTTTGAGATTAGTTTGGACATACATGGTACTGAATTTGTGAGAGAATATTCTGTATAGCAATTTCTGGCTTGTTTAGGTTTGTGGTAGAGAAGGTAGAGAGTGCCTTTTGGAGTATGTTTATTGTCTGTAGATGAGAGTTACAGATCTTAAATAAGAACCACCACAGTTCCTGCCTGCAAGGGCTTTCAGGCTAGCTTGAGGTGGCAAGACTGGTATATGAAAATCTCAGAGGAATTAAAGACAGCATTTAACCAAGGGTGATGTAGTGCCAACTCTGTACATTATTGGTTCTTTTTTTGAGACAGAGTCTCCCTCTGTCACCTAGGCTGGAGTGCAGTGGTGTTAGCTCACTGCAACCTCTGCCTTCTGAGCCCAAATGATTCTCATGCCTCAGCCTCCCGAGTAGCTGGAACTACAGGCATACACTACCATGCTTGGCTGATTTTTGTATTTTTAGTAGAGACAGGGTTTCGCCATGTTGGCCAGGCTGATCTTGAATTCCTGGCCTCAAGTGATCTGCCCGCCCTAGCCTTCCAAAGTGCTGAGATTACAGGCGTGTGCCACCTTGCCCAGCCTACGTTATTGCTAAGGGAAATAAGCAAATGATAACAGTGGTGTGGTGGAATGTAAGAGGATAACATGAGTTGTAGGTGGATTGGAGAGAGGAATGAATAAGGAATGGTGGTGATGATGGATGGTCTTGTTTTTCTGGGTAGAGAGAATATAGACAAAGATGGATAGGTACAGAGTTGTGTATAGAGGGAATACTTTCCTTCTTTCCTTTTCTTCTTTCTTTCTCTCTCTTTTCCTTTTCTTTCCTCCCTCCATCCCTCCCTCCCTCCTTCCCTCTCTCTCTCCCTTCCTTCCTTTCTGTTCTTTTTCTTTCTTTCTTTCTTTTTTGTTTTTTGGAGACAGTCTCACGCTATCACCCAAGCTGGAGTGCAGTGGCATGATCTCAGCTCACTGCAGCCTCCGCCTCCTGGGTTCAAGTGATTATCCTGCCTCAGCCTCCCCATTAGCTGGGACTACAGGCGCCTACCACCACACCTGGCTAATTTTTGTATTTTTAGTAGAGACAGGGTTTTACCATATTGGCCAGGCTGGTCTTGAATTCCTGACCTCAGGTAATCCACCTGCCTCAGCCTCCCAAAGTGCTGGGATTACAGGTGTGAGCCACCATGCCCGGCCTTCTTTCCTTTTTTGAGACAGGTTGTTGCTTTGTTGTCCGGGTTGGAGTGTGGTGGCGTGATCATGGCTCACTTCAGCCTTGACCTCCTGGGCTCAAGTGATCCTCCTGCCTCAGCCTCTGAGAAGCTTGGACTTACAGGCGTATGCCACCACATCTGGCTAAATTTTTTTATTATTTTTTGAAGAGACGAGGTCTTGCTATTTTGTCCAGGCTGTTCTCAAACTCCTGGGCTCAAGCAATACTCTCACCTTGGCCTCTCAAAGTGCTGGGATTATAGGTGTCAGCCACCATGCGTGGCCACAGAATGTCTTTTCTGAAGAAGAAATAAGTTATATAAAATACCATAATCATAAAGTAATATACAAATACTAAAAAACATAAGAACTCAATCATTGTTTTTTGACTTCATGTATAGGGAACCTAACTCAAATTGGCTTAAACAATTAATACATGTTTATTGTTACATTGTTCTAATGTGGCTGGAAATCCAGAAGTCATGCAGATTGTCAGACTGGTTGATACAGTGGCTTAATGTTATCACCAAGGACCAAGTTTCTGGCCAACTCTCTATTCCCTTTGAAGTTGGTGGCATCTTCAGGCTTGCTGCAAAGGTGACTGTAGCAGTTTGAGGTGTCACTGTCAGAGGAAGAGGGACTTTTTTCCTCCATCATCTTTAGGATTGAATAACCTTTTCTCACAGTTCTCTTTTGGAGGCTGTCTGGGGGCTTCTACTCACATCTCATGGCCATTCCTAACCAGTCATTGGCAAAGAGAATGGGTTAAAACTAATCAGAATAGAGTGGCTATTGGAAAGTCAACCATGACTATTCCAAGAGTGATTTGAAATGTGATGGTGTTTTTATTTTTTATCACTTTTCATTTTGAGATGAGGTCTCACTCTCTCACCCAGGCTGAACTACAATGGCATGATCATGGCTCACTGCAGCCTTGACCTCCCAGGGTGAAGCAATACTGCCTTAGCCTCTAGGGTAGCTGGGACTGCAGGCACATGCTACCACACCTGGCTAATTTTATAATTTTTTGTAGAGATAGGGTCTCGCTATGTTGCCCAGGCTAGCCTCCAACTTCTGAGCTCAAGTGATCCTCCCACCTTAGCCTCCCAAAGTCCTGGAATTACAGGAGTGAACTGCTGCACCAGGCCTTTTTCCTTAAATCTTTTTTTGTTTGTTGTTTTATTTTGTGTTGAGGCATTTTCAATCGCCTTTTTGACATCCACTTTTTTGGGGAGGACATTTAAGAAAATTTATTTCTCTTCGTAAGATTTTTGTGCAGTGGCTCATGCCTGTAATGCCAGCACTCCAGTCTAGGAGTTCAAGACCAGCCTGGGCAACATAGGGAGACTCTGTATCTAGCAAAAAAAAAAAAAAAAAAAAAAAAAAGGCTGGGCATAGTGGCATATGCCTGTAGTGCCAGCTACTCAAGAGGCTGAGGTAGGAGGATTGCTTGAGCCTGGGAGGCTGCAGTGAGTTGTGACTGCACCACTGCACTCCAGCCTGGGTGACAGAGCAAGAGCCTGTCAAAAAAAGAAAAGTAAAAATTGGTGCCTAGGAAGAAAGATGTGTGATTTTTAGATAAAATATAAAACAGGTTGACTAAGTGCCATAAACCCTGTGAACTCCTGACCCTTGCACTAAGCAATGAGAGAAAGGGGAAGTTGGAATTTATATTTTCCCCAAATACATGGTTTTAAAAATGAACATTTTCCATCTTTCTCCTAATGTATTGGAAAAATGTATTTCATATAACCTTGTTTATTTGGTTGCCTAATTAAATCTGACAGTTGAGTCTTAAAAATTTGGAGCAGTAGTAAGATTATTTTGTTATAGTGTGTCTGAATTTAATATTTAAGTACACACTGCAAAGGGCTTTGCCTTATTTGGTGTTTTTCATTCTGCTAATTTAGATTTCAGAAACCTCAGATTGGGGCTCTAGTTCGCCATCTATTGGTCCAATACCCTTCTGCTGTATTTTGTGGAATTACTATTTTTGTGTGTATGTGTGTACATTTAAAGTCAATTAAAGTTTTCCCCCAGGGTCGTAAATTAAAAATCCAGACTAAGGACCTCTTTTAGATGTGTATACAAATATGTATACATATATTAGTTTATTATTTGTGTAATTTGACCCTATGACTCTAAACTGCCTGCTTTTGATATTTGAGAACCATGGCTTGAAAGTGTGATTTTAAGAGTATAAATGGAAACTCGCAGAAACCTAGGTGCAGATTTTGCAGGGGCAGGTGAGTTAGTGTAACTTTGTGGGAAGACTAAAACCGTTTTGTAACAACTGGGTGTTTTTTGATCAGCAGAAGTGACGTATAATGCCGGATATTGGTTCTGGTAAGCCACAAAAAAGTGTGAAGCATTTTGCGCTTTCCTTTTTGGTAGTAGAGCATACATAACCTTCTTATCTGCCGAATTTGATGATTTAATGATTCGAACCATTTTTTTCTTCAGTCATTTAAGCAAATTTTGATGAATCCTAGATTAGTCTTTTAAATCTCAAGGTACTGTACTCATCTTTTGGCAGCTTTTTCTTTAAAGGATGGTAGAATTACACTTTGTGTAAGCGTGACACCTTGTATTACATTATGTTTCTGAATTCTTTTAAGTCTAGGAAAGATTCCATTATTTTAAGGCCGTATTTTGAGAACGATATAAAATTCTGTACTGACAAACTGGTCATGAGAAATGATAAGGTGCCACCACTTTAAACCAACTCTTGGTAACAAGGTGGGAAGTTGGCTTTTTGTTGTGAGATTTGTGTTTTTCTATGGAGTTCTTTGTTAAACTTTAGCATGGCAGTGAACTTCCTTTTGGTGGCGGCAGGAAGCATAAATACTCATTGTGTAATGCCATTTGCCTGTTTTGGCGGATCTGCCAAGCCATGACACCCCAAACAAGACGCGTGTTCACGAAAACTACAGTTCCCAGCGGGCTCGGCGCTGGCGGGGCCATCACCTCTCCTCTGGCTCCCGGCTGCCCCTTCCCGGGCTGGCCCGGCGCGGGCCCTGGCTCGCGCCTGCGCAATAACTACGTGCGCCCCCCCCCCCCCCCCCACTCTGGTAGCTGCGGAGCGCGGTGCTGGGGCTAGTGCCCAACCGTGCTGCAGTGTACGGCTGGCTGCTAGGACAAAGGGCGGGTGGCGGAAGCCGCTGCACTGGTCAGGGCGCTTTCTGCCCGGTTCAGCGTACGGTTAGCCCTGGAATAGAGTGGCGCCGACGGCCTTAGCCTCTTTACTACACAGTGCAAACAGTTCCTCGCTCAAGTCCTCTCGCACCGCGGCGCCGGCCCGCCCTGTCCCTCACAGCCGGCGCGCCGCACTGCCGGCCCCAGCACGGAGGGAATGTGACGGCGTCAGTGTGCCTCAGGTTAGCCTCACCTTGGCTGCAGCGAGAGCTGGCTCCCGCCTGCCGCAGTGCTGCGTGCCGTCGCCGCACGTCCGGGGCAGCTGGGGCCGGGCGCCGCTGCCTCCGCAGATGGAGGCACAAAAACAGCGGCCGCGGCGAGGAGCCATGACTGAGGCGGCGGCGGCCGCGCCTCCTGGCGGCCCGCGGGGGCGGCGTGGCGGGCGCCCCCTGGCGGCGCGCCGGGGTGGAGCGGCCCTTCGCCGCCGCAGCCGCAGCCGGCGGAGGCGCTGCTGTCCCTCCTCCCCGTGTCCCCGGCGCTCGCCCGCTCGCTCGCTCGCTCCATTCTCCCTCCGCTTCAGATTAAAGGGGGGGAGGGAAAAGGAGCTCGGCCGCCATTTTCCCAGTGCCGCCGCCACCGCCGCCACCGCTCGCCGAGCCGGCGGGAGAACCGAGCACCGTAGCGAAGCCGACTCGTCTCGCCGCGGCGGCGCGAGGGACGGCTGAAGCGCGCTCCCCGGCTAGAAAGAGGCGGCCGGGGGTGGCGGCCGGGGTGCGGGTTCGGGCTGCAGACGGCGGTGCTTGTTTGTGCGGGGCGGGGGGACGGCTTCACCCTCTGCCCCCGCTCGCCGACCCTCCCTCCCGGCCGGGCTGCGGTCCCCGGCCGTGCCCGGGCCCCGCCAGAGCGGAGGAAGGCCGAGAAAGGGCCCGAAAGAGAAGAAAAAGCAGCCGCTCCCCGCCGCCGCCTTCCCCTCCCCCTCCGCCTCGCCCCCCCGCCCGGAAAGTCAGGGCGGCTCCGGGCGCCGGGGGGGAGGAGAGCGGCGGGCCCGGGCCGAAGCCGCTGTCGCGCGCCCCCGCCCGCTGCTGGCCCTCGGCGCCCAGGCCGGGGGGCTGTTTGCAAACTGCGCCCATTTTGTGGGGCTGAATCCGCCCGGGCTACGCTCTTCCATCACGTGGTAGGTGCTGCTGCTGCTCCTCTCCTCCTCCCGCTGCCCTTTCTCCTTCTCCTCTCTCTCCCTGTGGCTCCCATTTCTCTCTCTCTTTGTTAGTTGTTAACTAGAAAGGCAGGGCAGGGGAGAAAAAACCCCCGGAACTTTAAATGGCCTCTCCGAGCTTCCCCGCTGCGGGTCCGGGCTGGGAGTCGCCCCAAGGGCGGGGGTGTGCGGGGGCCCTTCCCCAGCAGCTGCCGCCTCGTTCGCCAGCTTTTCCTTTGGCGTTCTATTTAAAAAGGCGGCCTGGAGAACATGATTTATCCCCGTAAAAGAACCCCCCAAACAAACTCTGGCTCTCGCCTTGAACTTCTCTTGACTGCAAAAGGCCTTTCTCTCCTCGAAACACATATCTTGCGCGTTGCATGGTTTGTATCACAACTCCGATTGTTTCATTTATTATTTTTGTTGCCTGTAAATTCAGGTCACTTACGTTTTCAGATGTAGTCTCCCTCAGGCCGACGTGTTTTTTTGTTTGTTTGTTTGTTTTGTGTTTTAACTAAAGAGGAAGAGGCATTTATTTGCTTTTAAGTGAGTTGGAATCTTACTGCCTTTTGGGGGGCCTGTTTTCCGGCTGACGGTCTTTTGATTTTTAGCAAATAGTTTAATTGTTTTCCATACGGTAAACAGCCCTACTCCCTTGTTTTACTTAAAAATCCTCTTGTTTTCCAATGTTGGTATCCCAATGTGGATTTGAAGAGAAACATGTTACTTAACTATTGCTTATTGATTGCCTTAGGGGAGAAGGGGTGACATGATGGCGCCACTTTAAATTGCTCTCTTTCCTCTTCCTCGATCGTCCCCCCCCTTTATCCTGGAGGTCACTGGAGCATTTTCTGTGACCTATTAATAAAACTGTACTTGAGGGTGTTAGCAGCACAGCTCGTAGGGGCTGGAGTTTAGTGCCCTTAGGGTTGAGAGACCGACTCCCGCAGTCCCCAAAGTTCCCAGAAATCTCTCTAGTCCTCCAGCCTCGCCTCCCTCCCCTCCATTCACAATCCTGGTGTTGCCATCTCCTTTGTCACGTGGCTAGCAATCATTGTGTTTTTTTGTTTGTTTTGGGGTGTGTGTTTATATTTTTAAATTGCAGCCCAGAGGAACCTTTCCTCTCCGCTTTGGAGAGATCAAAATGTTTTACGTGTTTTAGTTTTAGAGTCGGAGAACGTTTTAAAATAAACGATAAAATTACATAATCTTTGCCTTGCATAATCATGATATAGTTACGGATTCCTACTGAACTTCGTCTTCAAAGTCCTTTCAAGTATGGAAACTAGTACGTTAGAATATGTTTTTCGTTTGTCAGGATGGTCTGTAATTTCAATTTTCTCTGCTTTTTTGGTCATTTAAAGGACCACTATTTACAAAGGCTTAAGTGGGTGTGTTTTCCCTTCCCCCTTTTCTATAGGCTGTAGTTGGTTCCTTTTCTAGCATACTGTCTGACCAATTTAGAAAATTTCAATTGTCTGCAGGCGTTGTCAGTTAAAACTTTTTTTTTTTTTAACCTTCTATCAACAGTGAATACTTTTGCGTAGTAATTGTTTTCTGCCTAATGCTAAGTGTGTTTCGTTAGCATTTCGATTTTTGATCTAGAAATTTTTACTTTCAATCCTGTAGTTTTAGAAGTATGTTATTTCTGTTTGTTCATATCAGTTTTCCTCATATTTGGGTAAATACCTATTTTATAAAATACAAAGTACATTTCTGATTTTTCTACATAGTTTACTAGACATTTTTTCCAATTTTAAAAAATCTATTGTGAATTAAGCGTATTTTTTCTTTTTTAAAGTAGATATGAAATGTGATTCTTGAGTATGCATTGATCCTCTTACCATGCACATTGTCAATGGTTTGGACCATTTTCTTTGCTAACAGTTACATCATGTCATGTGATATGTGCAGTGTGATGTGTAGTTCTAAAAATAAGGCAAGGTAAAAATGCTCATCCCTTGGGAATTTAAAAAATGTATCATAAATGTGGAATAACTACCTACCCTCAGTCATGAAATTCTGAATTGGATTTCCACTAGGTTTATGCAACAAAGTGTGCGGTTCCTTTGACCTATAGCATAGTTGGTGTATTTGTTAGTACCTCATAATTTGAGGTGGTTGACTTTTTATTTCTTGAACAACTTGGAGAGAAACATTAAATGTTACAAAGGTTCTTAATGTCTGTATTATGGTGAAGATGGCTGTCACTGATGACCACCTCATTTGAGTATATGTAAATGTCTGTGATTGTGAACAGTTAAAAGAATGATCAGTTAAGAATTATTAGAGCCTTTGTGGTAGGGTGGAATTTTCGATCTTTCCATCTCTATGAATCTACTGAAGTGAAGTATTTTAGAAGTTTCCTTGCATCTTTTTTGAAAGCCATATTCAGAACATTCGTATTTGACTTTGGTGCTTTACCAACGTGAGATGTTAAGTTTTTGTCTGATTTTCTTTCTTCCTGCCTACACACGTTATTTCTCTGGTTAAACCTGCAGAGCACTCTTTGTTAGGTGTTTCCTGTTGGAAAATTCTGGAAGTTAGAAAATGAGACCTTAGTTCACTTGTGAACTTATATCAAGGTGAGAAGAAAGTGAAGTAACTTCTGTACTAAACTTTTTTCTTCACTGTCACTAAGGCTACTCTTCCATCTCTAGTAATGCTACATTGTAACCAGCGTCTCTGCATCTTCTAAAGAGTTGGGTTGACCACAGATTTTAATTATATTTTAAAGTGAATAACAAGTTTTAGGTTTGTTCTGTTTATTATGACCTGATTCATGTAATCTGTAACCATAGGGTTGTTGTGGTTGTTTGAGAAGGTATTTTAGTATTGAGTGGTTCTAATTTGGCCCCTTTGTGAATAGAGCAGCTTAGTTACCTTGTTATATCAGACAAGCAATTTTTTTTTTTTTGACAGGACTTTGCTCTGTTGCCCAGGCTGGAGTGCAGTGGTTCCATTTTTGCTCATTGCAGCCTCTACCTCCCAGGTTCAAGCAATTCTCATGCCTCAGCCCCTGGAGTGGGTGGGACTACAGGCATGTGCCACCACACCCAGCTGTGATTTGTGTTTTTAGTAGAGATGGGGGTTTCGCCATGTTGGCCAGGCTGGTCTGGAACTCCTGACCTCAAGTGATCCACCTACCTTGGCCTCCTAAAGTGCTAGGATTATAGGCATGAGCCACCATGCCTGGCCTAGACAAGCAGTTTTTAAAATGTGCTAAAAAAAAAAAAATGAAACTAATCCACCTTGGATTTTCTAAACAATAGTCATAGTAAATGCTGTGTTTAAAGAATAATGCTTATTCCTTAAACATTTTTTTTCTTGCTGTCCATTAAGACACAGAAGTAAGTGACTTCCTTTCTAGATAGGTGTATGTATTTTTAAGTTTATTGCTCCTTCCCACCCCACACAAAGGAGATCTCCATTCCATCCCTTGAGTTTAGAGGTGGGGGACTCGGCTAAACTGAATATGTGGTTGTTGATTGCTCCAGAGTAAATCTCATTGAGTGGTTTAGAGATTTTGTTTCTTTTTCATTTTAGAGATGGGGTCTCAGGGTCTTGCTGTGATTCTCAGGCTGGAGTGCATAGATGTAATCATCGTGCATTACAGTTTAGAGTGCCTGAACTCCAAGGCTCAAGTGATCCTCCTGCCTTAGTCTCCTGAGTAGTTGAGCTATGTGAGCATGTAACGTTGCCTTTTTTTTTTTTCTCCACTCTGTTGCCCAGGCTGGAGTGCAGTGGGTGATCTTGGCTCACTGCAGCCTCTGTCCCCAGGGTTCTAGTGATTCTCCTACCTCAGCCTCCCAAGTGGCTGTGATTACAGTTGCCCACCACCATGTCTGGCTACTTTTTTTGTATTTGTAGTAGGAACGGTGTTGCACCTTGTTGGCCAGGCTGGTCTTTCCTGACCTCAGGTGATCCACCGGCCTCAGCCTTCCAAAGTGCTAGAATTAGTTGTGAGCCACCATGCCCAGCCCCTTGCCTGTCTTATTTAGAGTTTTAAAGCAGCTTTTCATTGTACTCTTTCTTCATTTTAAATACCTCAGTCGATTTGATTATTTTACGTCTTGGGAAGCGTATTTTGCCTTAGTGCCCCTTTACTTGCTTACCTTAAGAAAGGAGTACAGGGCAGGTTCTTAAGTAAAATGGCCCCAAACACCTGGCTTGCCTACTGTGTCAGTGCAAAGAATACTTTGACCATGTCTTTTTCCTAAAATCTGACTTTATAACTGTTTTTTGGAAGTCTATATTAAGACTTTTTTTAGTTCTCATGTTGCTCCTGAAGATGTACGTTTAAATTATAGTTTGTATGCTGATAAATTGCATATAAGTCTATGGGCATACTAAAAGTTGTGCAGAATAGTGGTTCATAACACAAGATAAGATTCCCTCATCAGTACTTTCCATTCCCTGAAATGTGAGCTCAAAACTCAGGTGAACCACACTATGGCTGTAAAAGACAGTATGAATTAGAAAAGACAAATATCCACTGTACTAGAGTTCAACATTTGAAGGCTATCAGAAGATGTAGGAGGTAAGTGATATCCTTGAGTGTCACTTGCAGGTTGAGGGGAGAATTGTGGGTCATAGGAGATGACTAGTATGGTGGGGGGTGACTATTATTATTTGTTTGTTTGTTAAGCCATGCGCCTTTTAGGATGTAGAGCAAAATATAAGAAGCAGATAAGCCAAAAGGTGTGATTTACCAAAATACCTGGACTCCAAAAAGAGCTGCAATATATATTTTTCTTTATGTATTAAGCATTTTCTTGTCTTTGGTAGATTAAAGGTTTTTTTTTGTTTTCTTTTCTGCTCATTATCACAGGAGGTAGAATAAAGTTAAAGCTAAAATAGTGTGTATAGAAACTGACTTCACAAAAGTAGAAAACACAGCTCATATTTATGAATGAAAAACAAATGAGTTTGGGCAGT